CTTAGACACTTCCAAGGATTATAAAAATACAAACTTTGAATACCTGCACTGTCGCAGGGTAAATCTCACCGTGCACCAGTTTGTTTTCAAGTATCAGTGCTGCCATTTCCGGGTTTGTTCAACTTTATAATCACTCGGAGTGGCAGGAACCGAACAACGGATATGTCCGCCACAAATATCCCCGACATCATCGCGGTTTGCAGTGGATGGAGGTTTATTTCACGATTTGCTCTGGCTGCTTCAGCCTTGGGAGCCGCGGAGTATTCAGAACACACAGTACAATGTAATTCTGAACACAGAACCACCCATCGAACTCCTAACCGATCCTGATGCGAGTTGGACCAATCTAAAGCGCTGCTCTCAAGGAATCCTGTTTTGATATCCACCGAAACGAGAACAACAATCACGACAGAATCTCACGTGGTGGAAGATGGTACACCGCCCTCAATTGCACACACGCCTCAATTGCACACACGCCTCAATTGCACACCTTCCTGATAGTAAGTTTGCAGGTTTCAAGTAGCGTTTATTAGCAAGCTCAAACAGTGAGTTAAGACACCAAAGAACAGGATGGGACGACACTGAGGTTTATAGCATGCACTACGAAAAAATAGGGGGGGAGGGGTGAGGAGGTGATCACATGACGAGATGATGAGATAGACATCAGAATCAGTGGAAACAATCGAGTCAGTCAACGAATCACGATACAGAGCAGAGCAAGACGCGACTGCCTATTATACTTTGGGAGTCAAATGGCAAATCACAATAGACGACACGTGGCGCGACCAGCGTTGTGTTACGATACTGCAGATCGTCAGTGAATGGGTTTTAAGTTAGGCGGGAAGTGTGGCAGAGTTCGGTGCTGTTGTCAGGCCGCAGAGGTTGCCGCCGCGGTAGACACGCCAGTAGCCTTCCTCGCCGAACCCTACACCCCAGCTGTTCTTGATGATCCAGAACGGTGTGCCGTGCTCCTCGCCGAAGCCAACGATCAGCATGGCGTGGTCGAGCATGTTGGGGTCGCACATGCTGGATGGGAACTTGGCAATGCCGCCCTGGTAGAACTGAACAGCCCGGGCGTTCAATCCGATCGAAATCGGTCCGTTGCGCACGAGCCACGCGGCCATCTGGGCCTCGTCGTGCGCCAGGAATACGGTCCCGTTGACGGTGTACAGGCGGTCGGCGCGGTTCAGGCTGCACGTACCGCGGAGCGCCTGGTACGGGTAATTCTCCTCCGTGTCCAGACCACCGATGCGCTTGACGGCGCCGTAGGCGGTCCAGGGCAGGCCACCGCCGCACGCGCCGTCAGCGTAGTCGCAATCGAGCAGCTCCTGCTCGGAGAGGGAAACAAGTCGCCCGGTCTTGATGGCCCACTGTCCCTCGATGTTGCCGGTGGCCGAGAAGGACCAGCAAGAGCCGCAATTGCCCTGGTTCTTCACCGCCGTGACGGCATTGCGCTCTCGCCAGTCGAAATTCGTGGGAAGGGTGTTCAAGTTGAGGGGAGCGGCACGCTGGGCGCGTCCTCTGCGCAGCTGCTCTTGGACATCTTCGGGCTTGATCTGCACTGGCATGGCGTATCGCTGGTGGAACTCCTCGGGGGTCAAATCGGCCAGCTCGGTAATGCCGTACTTGGCAGTGCTGATCTCGTTGTGTTGGAATTCCTCGGCGATCTTCATGTTTTGCTTGAAGATGTCAGCCCTGCGCCGGATCTCCGGTGCACTATTGCAGTATCCCGGGCTGTACTGGCGCAGGAACGTCTGGAACTCGTGGCCGACGTTCTTCAGCGCGTCTACGATGGAGTACTTGCGCAGGGCGGCGGCGCTGGCGGTGCTGGCCGCCGGGGAACGCTCCACGGAGAGCAGGTTCATAGATGGACGATCCCAGGTCTCCGACAACACTTCGACGTCGTAGGTGGAGAACTGAGAGTAGTCGGCGTCGCACGTGCATAGCGTGTGCTTGGTGCCATCGTTCATGCAGTTGCTAGCGCGGACCGTTTCGAGAAGCAGGTTGTACTTGATGCCTGTGCCTGTGGCGGTCTCCTTGGTCGACTGGACGATGTTGGACAGGACCTGTGCAAACAGCGTATTCTCCTGGCGGTTGATTTCCTGCACGGCGAAGGTAGCCGCGTCCACCACGAGCGCGAAGTCGGCGCCGTCGCCGCTGTGCTTCGCCATGGGAGCGGACATGGCGGGCGAGGCGAGCGCGGCAGCTGCACAGAGCAGCACCGCTAGTCCGGACATCGTTCTATCGGATTGTTGTGGGCCACAACCGAGGATCTGGCTGGAATACGCACGATACACCTGGTGGAGAAAGAGAGATCGAAGCGAGAGAGAGGTATAGATACTAGATAGATGCGGCAGAGTGTGGAGAGGGAGGTGGGGAGAGAAGGTTGGAGAGAGTGAGCAGAGGCGGGAGAGCAAAAGTCTCTAGGACCTGCCGAAGAAGGAGACAGGAGACTCTGCGACGATGTCGCTTTGTGCGCTGTTGCTTTGGTTCGTGAACTTTCGATCGGCAGAAGAATGACTTGCTCTACAGCCATACCACTGGTTAAACAGTGTTCATCCAGGCTGATAGTACGATACCGTACGATACCGTACGTTGTACAGCACATCGTATACGCACCGTAGCATGCATCGATGAAGCACGTGATGATGCCAAATGTGTACTAGCATATCCTACACCGAGTGAATATACAATACGAATACCGTACGAGCGAACTGTGTCCCACAGTCTGCTTCTCTTCGTCTTCCGCTGCCTTCAATGGCAGAGCCAGCTCACTGTTCACATCCTACTACTAGTATTACTTACTAAATATAGGGTCCGGCGGGTTCTGCTCGAAAAGGTGGCAGATTCTGCTCGAAAAGCAGTGAAATTGGCAGAACCATACAAACCTTATGGCGGGCAATTCCTCGAATTCTGCTCCATTTCTTTATCCACATACTAGTACCAAACATGCATGACATTTACCAGAAAAAGTACCGAATTCTGCCAATCTTTCTGCCGGCAGAATCCGCCCGACCCTAGTACTACTCCCGGCCTCATCACCAGGGAATCAGGAACGTGGACAGAGGATGTGTCACGCGTGGTCAGGTCAGGTAGCTAGCTGCTCAGCGTGCCGTTCCTACGAGGTCTTTCACTGTCACGGTCTTTCAGGCCGTAGCTCTATCGCCCTTTGTTGGCAGTACATGTACCACAATGTATTGTATTGTCACATGATTGAATTTATTTTACTGCCGTGGCTCACCAGCACAAAGTACTACTACAAAGAGGCCCGAAAAACCGATCATATTAGGGGACATAAACAAGGAAAAAGGAGCAAACCAAAAACTAGATGAAGTGAGAGAAAAACAACAAAAGAAACAGGCCTATTATAATAATAGTTTGGTCTGTGTTTTAAACATTCAACATCTACATATGTACCTTCACTGATGAGCTTTGTGTTAGCGAAACAACTGTCCAGTGAAGGAGTTATCAATATCGTCTACGGAAGTGTCCTCGGAGTGATGATGGTTGTATGCAAGTGCAGGAGGGTCTATTCGGCTAAAGAGCGCAGTGTAATGGTGGAGGTGACTCAACAAAAGAAACAGGAGTACAATTTATATAAGCTGGACACCCTAAAAAAAAACGCTGTTTGAGTAAAGAAGGGCATGGTACCGTCCTACATCATGGGAGGTAAATCATGAGTACTAGATCATGGGAGGTAAATACTAGATCATGCATATACATGTAAGAGCGGAATTCTGACCTCTTGGTATAATCAAGAGTCCATAAACATTTGTTTATGCACTCTTGGTATAATCCCTGACATTGTGCGGTAGTGCATTCCACAATAGCTGTAACAGTTCCCTGTTAGCGCTAACCTTATCTGCCCTCTAGCTCTGTATCTTGCACCTTTCCCTATCCTGTCAGCACGCGCGTATCACCTTAGGGCACGAAGTGCCCTATATCAGTTGTGTTGCCTTGAGCAAGCATTGTCTTTTCCAAGAATACCTTCAAACGGTTACACTGGTAGCGGAGGATGGTTAACATGGTGTTCTTGGAGCTCGTCATTGTCGTGGCGATCCTTGTTCTTTCTGTGTTGCTATTCAGGTTGGCCAGCGAGGTCCGTGAAGCCAGTCGCCAAGTCAGCGCCCGTCTGAGCAACCGACAACAACCGCTCCCTGTGCCGCCCGCTCATTCGTCCGGGAAGCCTCGGCACGCTAAGGAGCCACCGATCTTCGATGGCAAGCCCTCGCAGTTCAAGGAGTGGGCTTTCTCCATTGAGCTGGCGATTCGGTCACTGGGAATCACCGACTCATCGGTGATGGTGGATTACGCAGCGGGCTTCCTGAGCGGCAACGCCAAGCTATGGCTCATCGCATCGTTGGATACGGGTGTGGAGTTCTCGACGTGGCCAGCGCTGCGTGAAGCCCTCGCCAAGGTGTACGGTCCGTTGCATCATCAAGATCGGGTGCGACTAGATCTCTTCGCTGTCAGGCAGCACTCAAGCTTGGAGAGCTATGTCACCGAGTTCTCGCGCCTAAGCCTACAAGTGCCTGAGATCGACGAGCTGACCCGAGGACTGCTGTTCGTAAATGGACTGCACCCATCTGTCAAGACCCGGGTGCTGCGAGAGCACCCCACTGATCTGAGCCAAGCGATCAGGTCAGCGCAAACGGCGGACCAACAGCCGAACCCGATTCAGCACCGAAGTCAGCCCGTACGACCCCAAAGGCTAACACCGGAGGAGAGGCGTCACCTGAGTCGGCAGGGTGGATGCTTCGCTTGTCGGAAGCCAGGTCACCTAGCTCGGGATTGTCCCAGCAATCAACACCCAAACGCTGGTCGCCAGTGAAAAATGGCGTGCGCTCGCTGGCGACCAAGCGGAAAGCACCCAACGGTTACCCGGTTGACATACGCAACCGTTACAGCGTACTAGAGCTGGAAGAACCGACGCTGCAAGCTGATTCGGAAGATGTTGCCGAACAGGAATCCCATGTCAGCAACGTTGATATCGCAGTACAGGACACGGAGCTTCCTTTGGAGCATGACCTTCTCCGTGTTGAGGGCAGGATCAACGGCCGCCGGGCAATTATGCTTATTGACTCGGGATCGACGCACGACTTCATATCGGAAGCTTTCGTGCAAAGAAACGGCCTTGTTACGGAGAGCAAGGACGAAACACTGAAGGTAACCCTGGCTGATGGCTCATCGACATCATCGGGACTGCAGAGGACCGGTCCGGTAAAGGTTATCGTGAAAGACTTCAGCGACACCCAATCTTTCACAGTTTTTCCGTTGAGCCGCTATGATGCTATCCTGGGCAAGCCATGGCTGACCAGACACAATCCGGATATCAACTTTCAGACCAACGAAGTCAAACTGAACGGAGAGCCGCTCGTTGCTAAACCCCCTTCCGGCCATAATAGTGATACGGAGCGTCAGGAGTCGCCGCCAATTGAGAGCATGCTCATATCTGGTTCTCAGGCTCGCCGCGAGTTGAGGAAAGGCGCGCAGGGAATCCTGGCGTGGGTCAACGCTACTGACGACGAGGAGGAGGACAGCAAGCCATCAGCCGCCAGACAACACCCAGATCATCAAGAGCAGCTGGCTAACCTTCTGCGGCGGTACTCGGACATCTTTCCAGACGACCTGCCGACCGAGCTTCCGCCAGAGAGGGATGTCGACCATGAGATTGTGACTGAGGAGGGTGCCGTTCCTCCATCACGGGCTGCCTACCGTCTCCCCAAACCCGAGATGGACGAATTGCAAGCCCAGCTCACGGAACTCCTCCGCAAGGGCTTCATCGAACCCAGCAAGTCACCATACGGTGCCCCAGTCTTTTTCGTTAAAAAGTCTGATGGCTCATTGCGCATGGTTTGTGATTGGTGGAATTTGAACAGGATCACCATCAAAAACAAAGCTTGCCTCCCAAACATTGATGACCTGTTTGATACCATAAGGTAGCTCATACTTCAGTAAGCTGGATTTACGCTCGGGATACAATCAGCTTAGGATCCGTCAGGAAGATGTACCAAAGACGCCTATCAATACTCCCTTCGGTCATTTCCAGTTCCGGGTCATGGGCTTTGGATTAACTAACGCCCCTGCCACGTTTCAGTCACTGATGAACAGTATTCTCCAACCGTACTTACGGCGGTTTGTGGTAGTGTTTCTGGATGATATTCTTATCTTCAGCAAATCCTGGCAAGATCATCTTGAACATATCCAGACAGTTCTTGAGACGCTCCGGAAAAATAGGCTATTCTGTAAGCAGTCGAAATGTGAGTTTGGTGTCAAGGATGTTCTGTTTCTAGGGCATCGCATCGACGGTGAATGTATTGCTCCAGATCCAAAGAAGCTTAAAGCAGTGAGGGAATGGCAGCCACCGACGACAGTTACGGAGGTGAGACAGTTCCTTGGTTTTGCGAACTACTTTAGAAGATTTATTGAGCACTACTCTACTATATCGCGGCCATTAGAGGAGATCACTGGCAAACATGCCAGGTTCGAATGGAGTGGCCCCCGTCAGCATGCATTCGAATCCCTGAGACAGGCCTTGTTGAGTGCACCGCTGTTGAAACTAGCAAACGTGCAGAAGCCTTTCAGAGTTGCAACAGACGCAAGTGATTTTGCAATAGCAGGCGTCCTTCTCCAACAGGGGGAAAGCGATAGTGCTTGGCATCCTGTGGCATATGCCAGTCGTAAGCTGTCACAAGCGGAGCGAAATTACACTGCTGCAGAACGCGAAATCCTGGCGGTGGTGTTTGCACTGCGATCCTGGAGAATTTATCTATTCCAGCATTTTGAAGTGTTCAGTGACAGCATGGCCGTAGTCTACTTGAGCACAAAAGCCAATCTCACTAAGCGCGAAGCTAGATGGGTTGAATTTCTTGCAGACTATGACTTCACAGTTAATCACAAACCCGGCAAGGAAAATATGGCTGATGCGTTATCCCGCCGCCCTGATCTGCGCGGGTCAGCAATTGGCAATGTAGTTGAGGAAAAGGATTGCCCACCCATCCTACCAGCACCCCATTTGAATACGATTGAGTTTGCTTTGGAACTGAGTGATAGGGTTGCTGAGATGATTTCGGAAGCATATCAGAATGACGAGCAGCTTTCCCCAATAATTCAGCGGCTGCGCGGCGATTCCTCTGATAATCTACACGAGCGGTACTATTGGGATGAAGAGTCCAGGTACCTATACCTCCGTGCAGCACCAAACAATCGCTTGTGTGTACCCAAGTGTGCAGTAAGGCTTCAGCTCCTGCAGGAGTACCACGACTGTGTCACGGCAGGCCATCAGGGACGGGATCGTACATATTTCCGGCTTCGTCAATTCTTCTATTGGCCCAATATGGGCCTTGACGTGAAGAAATTTGTTAAGTCTTGCGGCATATGTCAGCGCACTAAGGGTGGGTTGCCTAGATCCGGTTTGCTGCAATCGCTCCCAGTACCAGACACCCCCTGGAAAGATATTTCCATGGACTTTATCGTTGGCTTACCCCAGACCCCTCAGGG